AAAGTTACATGGATCATAAGGTGGGTAAAAATCCCATTTTGCCACTTTTGCACACGTTCACAAATCTTGTTGTTCATCATAATAAGTGGATATAGACACAGATTGCTTCCTATATCCTTCAGAGAAAGGTACTGAGATGCACATACAGCTACTGTTACACTGAAGTAAAAATTTACAGTAGAAAACCAAGGGATGGGACTGCTGGACCCAGTCATATGTTCCTCGGGTATTAACATTCAGTAAATTATTTCTAAGTGATCAGAGGTCTTTCTAGGACTTAGTTTATTTTATGATACAGGGAATTTGGACAAGAGTAAGATTCCTTCCCAACCTTTAAATTAACGTATTTTTAAGAAACTACTCATTAAGCCATTAGCATGTATCAAGAGCCATCCTAACGGGGCTGGGGGTAACTCAGTGGTATAGCATGTGTTCACCATGCATGAAGACTGGGGTTCAGTCCTAGCACTAAAACAGAACAAAATAAAAAAATCATAGTAATGGCTTTAATTACTTATAAAAATAAGTGAACTTGGGAAAAGGAGGCAAGAATTAATAACCCCTATCAAGTATTCTTCTTTTAAAAATGAGGAGATATGAGACAGTTTAATTTATAGCGTCTTAAAACTAAAAAGTCCTCCTTTCTCCGATCCAGGGTCCAAGAGAAACAGTGACAAAAATCAGTCACAAAGCCATATATATATATTTGTGTAGATTACTACAAATTTATCAGAAAAAGACAAGCAATATAACAGAAAAGTGGCCAAAGACCTAAAGCAAGAATTCAAAACAAACATATGAAAAGTATTGTCTCATTTGCAATCAAGGAAGAGATAGTTAAAATGTAATAAGCTGCCCTAAGAGGGAACCACTCACACTTTCCAAGCTGGAAATACTAAAATCCCTGATAATACCGTATGTTGCAGGGGATATAGAGTCGTTTTGATCATAAGAATATTTTTGGTGTATACTTTGGAAGATAGTTTGACATTGCCCAGTAAAGTTCAAGAAGCACATGCTTTATGAATCAGCAATTTCATTCCTAAAGAAATAACATGCTTATATGTTGTCTTGGTTACATTTCTGTAATTGCTGGGACAAAATACCTGACATCCAATATTAAGGAAGGAAAGGTTTATTTAGCTCACAGTTTGTGGAGATTTCAGTCCATATTTGGCTGGCTCTAAGGCAGGGTGGCACAAGGCACAGGGCAGCCTTTCATGGCGGTGGAAAACAGCAAAAGCAACAACAGCAAAGAGGAGGAAGGGTGGCCAGCAGCCTCTTCCCCTCCCTTACACTGTATGCAAACTATCCGCCCCAGGGCGGATGTAGCACTCACACCCATAATCCCCACATTAGACCATGGACCAATCATAAACTCTAGAAGCCCGTCCATGACTGCGTGAGGCTTTGCCGTGACATGCAGACACAAACCGTAACATATGTACATACAAAAGTGCTCATCGTAGCACTTCATATAATAGTTTAAGCTTGTATATAACTCAAGGCTTAACAGCAGAATGGATAAATTGAGGAACTGGTATATACACAATAGAGTACTACAAAACAACCTGAACAAACTATAACTACATACAGTCTGACATTTTTATAAACAAAATACTGACAATAAAAGCAAAATTTAAAATAATATTATGTGTCATATCATTTGTAATAGAGGAAATCGAGTCACATTGTTTAGAGATACATGCAGAGATGGTAAAGCTGCTCTTTAGATACAATGAGGGCTGGTTATGTAGTTCAGAAGGAAAATGTTTGACTCGTCTACTCAAGCCCTGGGTTCACCCACCTCTGCCAAAAACGAATAAATAAAATTTTAAGTTTTGAAGAGGTATTGAAATGGCTATCTCTGAAGGGGAGAGAAGTGATTCTTGTTTGGAGTGGTTATGATGGGGTGCAGTATCTGGAGTGCAGACCTTACTGTATTTCCTAAACTGGTTAGTGTTACCTGGTTGTTAATCTTACATTTAAAATGTGTACATACAGCTGTCTATTTAAACTGCACACTTACCCAACTCCTGGCATACACCAAACTGTCAATAAAGACAACTAATACTTACTGAAGAGGATACTGTTCTGACTACTATGACTTCTCCTGACACTATTTTGAAAGCCACTGTAATTCAATTGGTCACTCATATATAGCTCTATTTATTTTCTTTAGAAGCCACTTTGAACATACCTAAGTATAGTACAACTATTGATAATCTCCTATGACTTTTATCTGTAACTCACTATTATTTGTCTGTTTTCCTAAGAAACTATCTTGTAGATAACAATATGTAAAACAACCACTGATAATTTCCTACCACATTGTCTGTAATTTGGTAAGCTCCCCCTATTACGTTATCCTTCTTTTTCTCTTTAAAATAAAAAATAATAATAATAAAATTTAAAAAAAAGAAAGCCACTGTACTACTTTCTACTCTGTGGATTATTTGTGCCCCCTGGAAATACCACCTAAGGGAGAACATAAAGAAAAATGCCCATATGTGAAGTAAAGCTGCTTTATTTGTGTTATTTTTCCTCCAGTTTTCTCATTCTAATATCTCTAAATATATCTTCTGTCTTATATATTCTGCAACATTTTGATTGCAAAGTTTTGATAGGAACTGAAGTTTTACTCTACATGATTTTTCTCTCAGCAAGGACCTCACTGTTGGCAGCAGGAGTCTTGAATCTCTGCAGGTTGAGAAGATTAATGTATGAGTTGTGAACTGGGTTTAACCAAAACTACTGTGAAAGGGAAAATAGTAAAGGAGAAGTGAGAGATACCTCACTGTTCACATATACTGTCTTGGTTTTCTAAGGACCCTGATGCAAAAACCCCATTCTGAGGTAATGGCTGTGGCCCATTTTCACAGTGGATAACTTAAGGAAATTATTCACATGCAAAGCTACACAAAAAAATCACTACATCAAAATGCTTATTGTATTTTAAAGAGGAAATATGTCTTTTGTTTAAGGGAGAAAATACATGATGTTTTAAAAGTAGATAAGCATCACAGTCAGGTACAATAACAAGGCATTATATAAACGCTTGAAATTTTCAATTTTTAAAAACAAAAGATAATACCTACTCATTTAAAAATTCTTTATAAACAAATTTATGGTATTCCACTTGCAATTTCTTACTTATCACATTAAAAAGAAAGTTATCAGCAAAAAATAAAAGCTGGTCAAGTCATCAGGTTATAAACACAAATTTAATCACCTCTTTTAAAAAATATTACAATATTTAACACATAAATTTAATTTGGGGAAAAGTAAGAATTTAATCCAATAAACTGTTACTTTAATAACAATAGTGATAGTCAAAGAAATTTAACTACAAAGCATTTTTTAAAAAAAATATTTCAAAGAATTCCACATAGCTGGACAAATTTGTAGTCTTTAGTACTTAATCTTACTTAGTAAGAAGTAATGGTGTATTAATCTTTCTGTATGACCTTGGAATCAACACAAACAGAAATTACGAAATGAAAACAAAAAAATCAGATCAATCCACATGTACTTAGCCTAAGCATCACCAGAAACTTAGGGAAATACAGTAACACAAGGTAAGAAATAATACAATTAAGTACATGAAGACATCACCAGCATTTTGAGGAAAGGAGAAAACCTCTATTAATTGGACTGTCCAGAGGGGCTTTATGGAAAAGATGAAATGAAGTTTTAGGTAAGAGATGGAGAAAGAAAAAATATTCTTGGCCACACAAGTGAAAGAACCCAGAAAACACAGTTGGGTGACGGCAGACAAGTCTAAGTGGTGTGAGGTATAAGGCGGCAACGTTAGAAGCAGAGGGCCGGTCAGGTGCAGGATAGGATGGTTTCGCCTACCACACTAACCACTGGGAGAGCCTTAGGATACTTAGTGTGTCTGTGATGTTGGAAGTTAGCAATTCTTTGGGGACAGAAATCATTCCAATAAATGACAGAAAGAACTAGTATATGCAGTATATGCTTCTGTTGTGTACTATAAAGGGATGTACTTCATAATTTATGCCTTAATAGAGTTGATTTTAAAATTTTTCAAAAACTAAAACCAAGAATGCTAACTTTATTGATGAAAAAAATTTTCTTCTTTTCATTTTTTGAGACAGAGTCTTACTAAGTATTGCAAGCTGGCCCTGAACTCGCAGCAATCCTCCCACCTCAGCCTCCCAAGTGCTGGGATTACAGGCATGTGGCACCACGCCCAGCCTGATAATTCGACTGTGCTTCAATGCTTGTATGATGAAATGCATTCAAAACCAATCTATCATGGTTATATAAATTGTTCCTTTGCAAAAAGTACGATGTTCTCCATACCTCTGGCTTGTTGCCTATCAGATGTATTCTGAATATGACTGTCAAGATAATCTTCCCAAAACCCCCTCTGGATTAGATGCATCAGCTGAAGTGCTATGCACAGCCTTTCCTTCCAAAAGTGAATAAACATCTACAATTTGAGTTTAACCTGCCATTCTATCCTTATTTTTCACATCTTCTCATACTCAAACAAATACCTTTCTTCAAAATCATTTCTAAAACATACTTTACTCCCAAATTCATTACTTGGTTTCAGGCTATTTCTCAAAGTAATGCATTTCTGCCATCTACCTTTACCCTGCTTACATTTCAAGATCTAGCTCAATGTTATAAAGCACGAGGTCTCTTCTGAAAGATCCTTCAGGTACAACTTCTTCATTCTCTAAATTTCCACTGAAAACTGACTGGGCATTGAAGCTAGTAAGTAACACCATCTTCATGTCATTTGTAAGAGTTACCCATCCTTGAGGACCTCAGACGATCCATACCCACACATTCGTAACCCATTACAACCCATATAGGACAAGCTAGATGGATAGGCTTAACACACAGTATTTACTCAACATTTGTTACATGGATCATTATTTGCACATCAAGGACATCCGGGTCATTAATAGTAGTATAGAAATAACATGGCAATCTTAATAATACATTTTTAAAAGTTATTTTACCTTTTCAGTTGTAAGCGGTTTTGTAAGCTTTTCTGGCTCCTTCTCTCTCTTTTTCTCTTCCTTTTTCTTCTCCTTTTCTTTCTAAAAAGCAGCCCAAAGTTTTAGTGAGTTTACTTTTAAAACATGACAACTTTTTGTAAATTGATATCACTGGGGATTGAACCCAGGGCCTGCATACTGAGCTATTTTGAGACAGACTCTCAGTAAGTATCTAAATTGCTCCAGCAGGGTTTAAACTTTTAATCCTCAATCTCAGATTCCCACAGTACTGAGATTACTAGTGCATACCACCGTGCCTGGCTGCCACCCTTTAATTAATTTCTACTTTATTAGTTTTAATTATCATTTGAAAAAGGCGTAAGTATTCCACAAAAACAATGCTATTAAAATATAAACATGAACAAAGCAAATTTATATTCTCATTGAGTTTACATATCCATGACACAAAGTTACATGTTGATGTCAGAATATAGAAAAATTAAGAAATAAGACAACTTAGAATTTCTTTGCTATTTAAGGTCTGTGTTTGTTTTAAGCAAAAGAGAACTCCATACAATAAATTCTCACTACAACTTTACATAGGTTATGCTTCTTTATGGCAAACATAATGTTAATTCTGAAGCAGAAGAAAAACCAAACTAACTGATATAATTATTTCCTTATCACATGGATGAAGACAAATTAGAACAGGTAAACAAAAAACATAACATCACTTTAATTTTCTAAAACATCACAAAACATATATTCAGGTCATTATGAGTTAAAGGAGGAAAAGTAATTTTCTAATGAAGAAGGCATCAAAGCCAATGCATAGAGACTAGACTCAGCTGACTAGTCTAACTAAGGCAGTTGAAGTAACCATAATGACATGATGTTCACAGTTTGCATCTCTAAGGACAAGACAGGATATAACACTGAAACCCCAAACATAAAAGGCCACAGAGGAGAAAAAGTGAAAAAAAAGTGTCCCAATAGCAAAGTGAAAAGAAGATTAAACAAAGAGCACTTCCTGGCATTTGGAGGGAAGAGATGACTAGAAAGATAGAATGTGGATGGAAATCCAACGGGTACTAATCTAGCTCTTAGACTCCTGCAGCAAGCGTGAAAAGCTAAACAGCCAAACCCAGGAAAGACAGCATAATACACACATGGAACTTAAGTCAAAATACCAAAAGCCTGACTCTCTTTTTTTTTGTCTTTTTGAGACAGGGTCTTGCTATGCATTTCAGGCTGGCCTTGAGCTCACTTTGTAGCTCACGCTGGTCTCAAACTCGCAATGATCCTCCTGCCTTGGCCTCCCGTGTGCTGGGATTACAGGTGTGCGCCACCACGCCCTGCCCTGACTCTCAACTGGGCCTTTACATTGGTGTTTGAGCTCTGCACAGGTGCAGTATGGTAGCCAATGAGTTTTATCCGAAGTGTGATTATTGCTAATTAGGTCACTGAAAAGAAAAATTTGTGCTAATACTGTTTTTTCTCTTTAAAATAAAAAAAATGGTATTTGATATAACCTCCGTCAGACTGTATTTGCCATATGTAAGTCAGGAAAGATAATAATTCTTAGGCTTTAAGGTTGAAAGAAATACTGAAAGTTCAAAGGCTTTGCAATCATTTATGTAAAAAGCAAAATCAGCAAAGCTACACTGTTGGTATAATATGTATACCATATAAAACTATGAAGAAAAGCAAAGGAATGACAAAGATGGTAAGGTCAGCATGTTAATTACCTTAAGGAAAGGGGTTTCAGCTATAAAGAGAGGGTACCATGAGAGCTTTGGAATGCTAACAATTTCACTTTATACAATGAAAACAGTGACAGTTCTACTCATTAAATTAGGTGCATATTTAACGTGCATTTCAGTGTTAAAAACTTCAAAAATAGAACTCTGAAAACTGTAAAGCACTACACAAATATAACAAAGTAAAATTTTTGTATCTTCTGCATGATATTAAAAGGGGGGAAGAAAAACCTTGATCTTGGCCCCAAACTTTAAAAGAAATTCATAGCAAAGACATTTCTGGCAATATCTTCATTTCCAAGTTTAAGAACAGCAGAAAAAATTCTAAAGCACTTCCATTAATGTTTGCTGTTGTTGGTGATTAATAAAAAGCAATTAAGTGTAGCAACTGACACATCAGTGAGAATATCTGTTATACTCAAATAGTGTAGGTATATAGCTGTGTAGCAAAAGGAGAGAGTAACGGGCAGAATTTCTACAACTGGGATAAAAGACAGCTTATATATAAGGCTCCTTGTACTGTACTTAGATTCTCTCAAAACATTTGTTTCAGTACTGCTTTTCAGGAGCGAAATGAAAAGTTAACAGAAAGCTGAACTCTTTGAATACCTCAAGTGTTAAAACCTAAAGAGCAATCTACCACATAGCCATATTTCAAAACTGGCATTTTGTCATGAACTTTAAGAATACTAACACAGTCTAGCACAGACCGAAGATCTTCTAGAAAGTTTGGTGTGTTCTCAAAAATACATTTTTCTAGGTGCCTGGATAAGACTGGAATAAAGATATGCACCTTTAAAGATAACTAGAAACACTACAACATGTGATTCAACTGTTATAGGCAGCTGAGTTAGACAGAAATATTACAGGCAGTCAGACAGGGCCAGGCCCTCGAAGGAGCCAGTATGGATGACAAGATACCTTACAAATGGAGAGGTGGCACTTGCTTCTGGCCAGATCTCAAGACTAAAGATTAAACAAACACACCCTCTTACCTCCCAAGGGATGGACCTCAGGGATTGACATTCTAAATAGGTAGCAATCACCTTCAAGAGTCCTTGACCCACCCCTTACTGGAAAAGCCAGTTCTGTATTCATGCCCACTTGCTACTGTGACTCAATTCCCCATTTGAGCCTGGTTTAATCAACTTTACCTGAACAATCCTCATTGGCTGACCATAGTTTTGTCCATTTTCCCCTACTATGGACCTACCTCACCTCATAGTTTTGCTCTATAAAAGTCCCTAGAAAAGACAGAGTCTTGGGTAACCCACTCGGGCCCCACTTCTGTCCCTCTCTTGGACAGAAGCTTTCTTTCCCTCAATAAATATATTCCGTTTTTAACCTCCGTTGTTCCTAAAATTCATTCTTCGATTTTAGAGAACATGAACTCGTCCCAGATATCATTCAGGTTGGGAGTTTTTATTTTCCTGTAACACAACCAGGGCCAAATCAAATCTGCCTACCTAAAACAACACTACAGTGTCACTTATCAAGGGCTTCCTCACTGTTCAGTTTCATGTTTTCAAAAGCTGCCTGAAATAACTACTGATTTTACTGTCTTCTTACAAGCAAAGAAACAAAACCCTTGGTAAGTGATGCCCACATCAGCACAGCTAACCAATCAGTCCCCCTTTCCCCCTTTTGGCTGACTGCACACCCCACGTCTTTGAGTCTTGCTGCCCACCAGGTCCAGGGGAGCCTCACCATTACCTACTGAACACTCACGATATTCCGGGTACTGCTGGGAGTCATTCAAGCCTACTGGCAACTTTATGAGGTGATTAATTATTATCCTTACTTTGTATAAATGAAGAATAAATGAGATGCACAAAAATCGTTTATGTATGATAAAATATTTTTTAGATTAGTAAAATTTCTTGCGGAAAACAACACAACAGAATATTCTCACTAGTATGCTGGAGATAAGCTGCTCCATATCCTCCTAAAGCTATTAATGCCATGGCTGGGATGTCTGTACCCACCCCAAAATCCTTATGTGGAAACAAAACATCCACTGTGAGGGCTGTAGGAGGTAGGGTCTTTGGCGGGTGACTAGGTCTGCAGGGTGGAGTCCTTACAACAGAGATTCCAGACAGTTCCCTTGCCTGTTGCCACCCTATGAGATCACAGAGCAAAGGGCCATTCTGTGAATAAACAGGTCTTTGCAAGACACAGAATGCAGGGAGTCTTGACCTTGAACTTTCACCTGCCAGACTTCCTAACCTCCGAGATTAGTGAGCACACATGAGATCACCAAAAATAAATCAAACTTGTTAGCTTCATGAAATAGAGAACATGACACTGAAATTTCAGCTGCTCTCTGCTCAGACTCCAGACGTGGAATTACGACACAGGGTTTGAAGTAACATCAACAGCAGGAGCTCTGCACTCTGATCATACAGTCTGAGCCACAGATGACACCCATCTATGGAATCAAAGGCTGCTGAAAGATCAAAGAGGATATCAGAACTAAAGTTGTTGTAGTATTTCGGCTACAACAAAATATAACCATGTTTGGTATTATAAAAGAGCAGTTCCAGAAAGCTGATTGATAATGTAACTGATACAGTCATACCTGGGTTCAAGCATTTAATTTGATTTATGATTGGGGGAAAGATGGCGACATCTGTGTTTGTTTGGGGAAAACAGCAAAGTTGTATTTGTCACCTGAACACAAGTAAAATTTTGTCAAAAGCTTCTGTGTGGGAACTGAACTGCCTGTGAACAGAAGTGTTTGTGAACTGTTTTATTACCGTACCGTGGAATGGCTGAAATCCTGCCGAAGAAATTACAAATATGCAACTCTGATAAAACAGAGAAAGGGGCTGGCTCTGGTGACACACGCCTATCATCCCACCACTCTGGGAGACTGAGGCAGGAAGACGGTAATTTCAGGTCCAGCCCAGGCAATTTAGCAAGAACTGCTTCAACACAGAGTAAAAGGTAAAAAGAGCTTGGGATGCAGTTCAGTTCAAAGGTCCTGGGTTCAATCCTCAGTACCTGGCAGTACGTACGTATGTACGTACGTACGTGTGTGTGTGTGTGTGTGTGTGTGTGTGTGTGTATGTGTGTGTGTTAAAGTTCATATATTGCAATCATTATAATCAAACTATACTAGAGTGATTTAAGTCACCAAAATGTTCTGGTTCTGTACAACCTTGAAAAGTTGTGAGTATATATATCCACTCCGTCATGCACACACAGTTATTTATAAGAACATACTGCGTAACACTGTAACTCTATAGAACATTTACAAAAATAGAGATGTCAAAAGGATTAAGAACTAGGAAGCATGAATAGACATTCTGAATGGACTGCTTGGAGGCCACCAAATTAGATCACTTCCTTCTGAGAAGTGGAGACAAGAACCAGTAACATAAAAGTGTAACCCACCCATCTCCACCCTCGTTCCCAGTGAGAAATATTTCCAGGGCAAAGTCTGCAGCGGTAACTTGCCTTTGGCATCTTGCCATCCTTCCCATCCTCAAGTACTTTCCTGAGTCCGCCTGTTGACCAAAGCCACTCACAACACTAAACCACCCAACCTAGTGGACCTGTCTGTGCATTTCCAACCTAGCAGTTCCTTCCCAAAACTGTCCCTCACACTTTCCTCATGAACTTACCTTGATCTGTAATAACTCACAGGTTCAAGTCTTCCCACCTTTTTATCCCGGCGGTGTTCCTGCTTGTCACTGATCCCACTGGTCAGACTCAGGGTCTCAGACTCCACCCCCCACCTCCCTTGGGCTGCAGACTTGCACATGAATCACCTACTCAACACGGGCAGCTCTATAGTAACAAGCGTCCAACTTGAGCCCATCTTCCTTCTCTTATCTTACTAACGACAACACCTTCTATGCAGCCGCTTAAGCCAGACCCTGGGAGTCACAGTCCACAGATACTTCCACAATTCATTGATGACCACAGCCTAGACATCTTACAGTCTCTCAGAACCACACTCCTCGGCACCCTCTCTGCTCCCATTTGAGCATGCGCCCCCATCACTTTACTCTGGATGAAGATTAGTTCTCAAGCCTTTGATGGAGCCAGCAGGCAGTACTGTGACCCTGTCACTGTGATTTCCCTCAAAGTTCTTTATGAACGTGCTTGGGCCTTGGTGTGAAGGCCAGCTCCTCCCTGGACTCTCAAAACCGCACTCAGCAGCCAGGTGTAGAGGTGCACGCCTGTAATACCAGCACTCTGGGAAGCTGAGGCAGGGAGAGCTCAAGTTCAGCCCAGCCCAGCCCAGGCAACCTAATGACTCAGTGAAATTCTGTCTCAAAATGACAAGGGTTAGAGATGTAGCTCAGTATGAAGATGCTGAGGTTTAATCCCCAGTGCTAAATAATAAATATAAACATATAAACACATACATACACACATTTTTTAAAAAAAGATCCTTCTCCCCCTTTATTCCTATCTCGCTCCTATTTCAGCCATGCCAGTTCAACTTGCAATTCCTGCTTTCTCTACTTGGGATGCCTCTTAATCTTTAATGGTTATTCAGAGTACAAGATGCATCAAAAGTGTGCCGCCTGTATCAGCAGAGTGATCTTCAATCACATAGTGTACCGTATTCTAAACTGTCACTCAGTTATCTGTTTTCCTCCTTAAATTTATAAACTCAGACCAGGCATGGCGTCATACACCTGTAATCCTAGTGCTCTGAGAGGCTGACGGAGGAGGATGGAGCAAGTTCAAGTTCAGAATAGGCAACTTAGTAAGATCCTGTCTCAAAGTCAAAAAAAAAAAAAGAGGAATGGAAATGTAGGTCAATGCAAAGGGCCTAGGTTCAACCCGTGGTACTGCAAAAGAAACACGGGAAGCTGTCCGAGAGCACAGGCCATCTCTCATTCGTCCTTCTGTCCCTCATGTGCAGCCCTCCATGTATCAAGGAGAAGACCCGGGAAAAACAACGGCTAGAAGAGTGCCTCGCATTCACTCCTTAAGCCCAATGAAATAAACAAGAAAGGTGAAGAGATAAAGTATCTTTCAATCAAAACCTTTCCAAGCAGATCAAAGAATTCCTAAAAAAAGGTCCTATAAGGTAGTTAATAATCACAACAACAAAAAACTAACTGCCTGTTGACACACATTTATGGCCAAATAAATCAATAACTTTGGAAACTAAATATAGGTCAAAGCCCTTTAATTATAACCTAGGGAAACATTCGGGAAATTCTTGCATTTAGTACTGGGGATCATTCACAATATAAATGATTACAGCACTCGCACATTATAGCACAGAGCAAAAGCTCATTTATCACTCAACACTACACAGCGCGACGGTTGAAATACTACCGTACCTCTAATTTGTTTTTCTCAGCAGCAGCTTGCAGAGAAGGAGAAGATACTAGAGGCTGAAGAGGAGCATCAGAGGAAGAAATCTGGAGTACAGACAAAAAGTCAGAAGACACAAAAGGTGGGTGACAAGAACTGGCCGGCATGGGGAAGAAGCATATTTCTGAGACACAAGAGCATTTCAAAGCATGTAACAAAGGGAATTAATACACCAAGAAGGAAATACTACTTTTTAAAAATTTCCATGTGAAATTTCTTAAAGGATTCAGTAGAGAAGAGTGACTATTTAAAATATTCACTAGTTTATAAAATTTAAAATGTACCCAGGTAAGATCATACAAATGAACCTGAAAAGTAACTGTACTTCTCTGACAGCTGACTGTAGTGAAAGTTACCGCTGAGACACCAACACTCCGAAGTATGAAGGCACGCTGTCCCGAAGGCACACATTACTGACAACTTTTAAGAATGAAAAATAAAACAGCTGAATAGTAAAAAGTTAATTGAAGTTTTAATCAACTGCTTAAGAAAACAGAAAAAAGGCTAGAAAGAAAGAGTGGATTAATATACAGTTGAACAGCAGACAGACTTATTATAAAGCAATTTATGTATTTCCTTGAGATCTGCGTGCAAACATCACTTTCAGCACTGCACTTGCTGAATTAGCCTTGAATTATGAGAGTTATATATGCAGCAGAGGCAATTTATACACGAAAATGGGTTTCATCACCTTCCTACTCAATTCCCACATATGTAGTCGATCACGTTAATGGAAGCATTATCTTCCTGCTCTTTACTGCCAAAACCTAACTGAAATACATTTACAAAATGCACAGTAATCTTCACAGCCGTAAAGCCACCGTCTCTATATTGCCCTATCATATCAATAGCACCTATGAGGACTTTTTAAGGATCCTGTTACAAGTGGGTCAATATGTAATGTCAAAGTAACACTGCGAGATGGCAGCTCCTCCTTCAATCTGCTTGTCTTACTAATAAGTTAGTTATGACAGTAATTCTTGAATCTCAACCCAAGGCTATCAACTTAAGAGGTTTTTCGTTTCTTTATACAATTTTGGCTGTTATAATTCTGTAAATTAGTATTTAATTATTCCTAAAACAAATATATAAAGCACACCATATGAGGAAATATTTTCCACTTAAAAAGGTCAAACCAGGTCTTTAAACCTGGTCTGTCCTGGATGTTTACTTGCAGAGATCTTTAATTACATATTCACATGGAAAACAAGAGACTGAAAAGCCATAAAATCAATTAAAACAACTTGCATCATAAAACTGCTTTGCTTAAACTCATGTAAAAGGGAACATAAAAATAATTACACAGGGGAAAGAGAAGTACTTAGAATGTCAAGGGTTACTAATCCTTAGAAACTGGCATGACAATTTGCTGTAAAAGTGTTTGTTCTTTTTTTTTTTCTTTCAAAAAGATTAAAAACTGACTTGGCCACTTATAAAACCCAGAATGAAGACATAAATTTTTATTCAATAAGTAAAACGTAACCAACATCTTATTGCACATCCCCCCAAAAAAAGGAAGGGGAAAAAAGCTTTACTATCATGTTCCAGCTGGGAAGGAAAACAGAAACTTGCTCATCAGCAAAGGCAATGGGCAGATCAACAAAAGGGTGTGCGGGGCATGGTGGTGCACGCCTGTAATCCCAGCACTCCGGAGGCTGAGGCAGGAGGATCCTTGCGAGTTCGAGACCAGCCTGGGCCACAAAGTGAGCTCAAGGCCAGCCTGAACTGCAGAGTGAGACCCTGTCTCAAAAAAAAAAAAAAAAAAAGACAAAAACAAAAACAAACGGTGGTACTGTATACCCACACAATAAAATCCTATGGGTCAGTTACAAACAGTAAATAAGAGCACACACAAAAGCGGAGGGAAAATTCAGCAACACGCTGAGAGCAGGAAGACAGGAGAGCACACAGTGTGCAGTCCAATCACATGAAACTCTGGAAGATACAACGTGCCATAAAAAAAGCAAACGAGTGCTTATCTGGGCCACAGCTGGACACAAAAGAGCCTTATGCAGTGATGAAAAGATTCTGTCATGATTATGGGGGAGGTGGTTACGAAGACATGTGCATTTGTCAGAACTCACTGAACTATACCCTAAAATGCCTACTTTTACATTGGGAGCTGCTGGAGTTGGTCGCTGGTCATGTGTGTGAGGGTAGGACAGAGCCAGAGTGCCTCAGGCTGTCAAGCTACCTCAGCATTGAAAAAAGTATCCTGCTTGGACAATTATAGTCTTAGTCTTAGTCTAGGCAACATTATCTCTCATGATACTACTTTGCAAGTGTATAAAATAAACACCCCTACTGCTGGAGTCAGTTCTCATGCTCATCAGGCAAGAGGTAACTCCACCTGAGCCGGGCTATCACCTCTTGTCTTTATTTTCTAAATCCTCTCGCCGTTTTCTCCCCGGGACCACCAAGAGACCACCAAGAGACCACCGAGAGACCACCGACTCACACAATTTGGTGCCCAACATGCGGCCCCTGGTAAGGAGAGTGGTCGGTGGGAGGACACTCGCCAGAGCGGGGTGGGGGAGTGGATTGGTAGGTCAATAGTTAGCACTGGAGTGTTATATTGACAATTATCAGGTGTAAAGAACGGAGCATGGAGGTCTACTGACCTTACACAATATAGTTACAAAAAATAGGCTTAAGAGAAAACAAAAGAAGAAAACTATATTGTATTACGAGTAATTAAAATGGGACAACTACAGTCCCAAGAATCACAGGAGTATCTATGCGAAAGTGGTTTTGGCGTGCTTGACTCTTATATTTACCTTTCTTTTCCGGATTTTGGTTAAAAGGGGTTTTACAACCACAAAGCCTCAGAGCTCTACTTTAAAATTAAGTCCCGAGCCCAAGCAGGACAAGGATGATGGCACTATGGCATTGTCGACAGAGTCTGAACCCTCCAGCCTTGCTCAACCTAATAAGGAGAGGGGACAAAAGGGACTTTCCCCCACCAGAGAGGTGTTTCCCTGTGAACTCTATCTTACAACACTCGATGGAACTGACTGGGCCACAGGCGGCTATTCCAGTCTTTTCAGCTCAGAGAAATTTTGCTGCGACACGGGTTGGAACTTCCGCCTCTCAAAGAGTAGAGCCATTTTCTCTGTCTCCTTTGCAATCAGCATTAAAAAAAGCCAGACAGGCAGGGGAGCCCATGGAAGGTTTTCAGCATATCTACCCTGTTATTGAAGTTGAAGTCCCCAAAATCCAGGATAAGTTATACACCGCTATGACGCTGTACCTTTCAACACCTTAAAAGACTTAAAAAAAGGGGTTGCTACTTATGGCCGTACTGCTCCCTTTACCTTGAGTTTATTGGAAATTCTAGGACAACCGATTATGGCTCCAAATGATTGGAAAGGAATCGCTAAAGCATGTTTAAGTCCAGGAGACTATCTGACGTGGAAAGGAAACTTGAGTATTGCACTGACCAGGCAGCTAGGAACGCTACTCACAACATAGCCATTACAAAAGATACGCTTATTGGGGAAGGTGACCTTGCTACCACGAACAACTGACCTTTGAATTGCCAGCATGAGAACAAACCAACACGGCTGCCATGAGGGCTTGGAGGAAGCTTCCTTCTAAGGGAGAGGCAGCCCTCAGTTTGGCTTCTATTCATCAGGGCCCTGAGGAACCTTTTCAAAATTTTGTCGCACACTTATTGCAGGCTAGTGAGAGGATTATAAATCACACAGAAGCTAGCAAATTAGTAGTTCAGCAGCTAGAAAATGCAAATAAATGGTATAAAAAGGCTTTAAGAGCCCACAAAAGGCGGGCCACATTGCCGGAGACGATTCGGATCTGTGCAGATATTGGCCCCTCACAGGTACAGGGAGCTACTTTCGCAGCAGCTATTACTCAGGTTATTCACTCAGGAAGGAAGGGTAAAAACAAGGCCATTTGTTTTTGCTGGGGAAATAAGGGGCACCTGGTCCAGAATTGCCCTGCTTCACCTATGAAGGCAGCACAGATGTTATCTGTAACTAAACCTTGCAGTCCTTGTAGAAAGTGTCAGCGAGGGTATCACTGAATAATCAGTGTTGAGCTAGAACTGCTGGGAAAAGTCGGCTCTTTCTGGGAAACCCCCACTGGAGATTCCCTCAGCCCCATCAAATAATGGGGGCGGCCCAGGTGGCTGCAGTGGGGGACGAGGTGCTGGGTGCGTTCAGGTACCCGGTGGGGTCTCCCCCCTACCTCTTCCCCTACCCGCAGGATGCCAAGGGCACCAATGGTTGGCAGCTCGGCAGTGAGGAACACACTCCTGCCCTGTTCTCCGCCAGGCTCCTGTCGCACGTGAGCCCAGGCTTCCGGTTGGGCCCCTGCAGGCCCAGCTGCTGTGATGCGGGGGTGCAAGTGAACCAGCGAGGCGACGCACTGGTACAATGCATGCCCAGGCAGGAGATGCCGCTGTGCAGGGTCCGGGACGCAGGAGTCCCAGCCCCCCCACATGCTTCCCTTGCTTCTTTGCTGAGAGCTCGCCCGTGCATTCCCACTGCCTCACTGGCTGCCGGGAGGCGGCCCCGGCAAGCACGCAGGGCCCTGTGGCACCAGAGAATAAGGGGGCAGCAAAGAAGGCATCCCCACCGCCAAGGGCCAAGCGGAAGCAACAGGAGGCTCTAAGTGGTGAGGCAGCCCCGCAACCCGTGCTGCGGAGGCCAAGGTGGCTCCCGGCGGCGGGGAGGGAATAGGGACAGTAGGGACACAACCATCACTGTGCAGGAAAAATTGCCCCCATGTGCAGAGCCAAGCAAGAAGCACTCGCACCTCCAGCAGAAATAAGGCTATTACCACTGCAAGGACTGCAACGTCCGCTGAGAGTGCATTCGTTTGGTGTATCCAGGGTACAGATAAGGTTTAAACAGTTGTGCAGAATGTGTAAAAATCCTACAACCCTTACCGAGGGAAGGCTATCGCCTGCCAAAGTTGTAAAAAAACTCAATGTTCATGCCCAGTAAGACTTCGCCATGGGGACCCCAAACACTCCCATCGCCAAGACCTGCGTGAGACACGCAGGAGCAGGCGCCTGTCCTGGGAT